CCCCCCACCCCCCCCCCCCCTAAAAAGAAAGCGCAGAGTTTTGTGCGCTTGCCCCCCCCCCCCACGCTGGCCCTGCTTCAACCTTGAACAAAAGTCTGCCTACGCCTACACTCATACCTATCAGTCCAAAATAGTTCCTGGCTCGGATCCTGGGTACTCTCTTGTCTTCACCCACTCAAATGTAATATCCAATGTCGCACTGCATGAGAATCCTTAACGTTCGTGTTGTTCAATTGGCAGTGTAACTTAGTTCTGATTCTGAGGGAACTCATGTTATAGACAATAATTATAATATAGTTAAGGCCCATTAAATTTAACAAATGATGCACTTTAATGTGTTCGTTTATTTATTCGTTCATCTTTACATCAAATATATTTAAAAAACATTCCTTTTGAAAGGTTGGGGAAGTAATGTTGAGGTGGGTTGAAATGACTGGATGTATACACATAGTAGAGCAGTTTAAAGTAGAACAATTAATTAATTAGGGATACTTTAGTATACTCTCGTATTTTATCGCAACAAGGACGTGAAGGCGACATGCAATTGCCAAACGAGCTTTTGTCGGTATATTATTAAATTTATAAAAAAAAAATCCTTTTTGGCATTTTTAAAATAACAAATTATGTTTTCACATACATTAGAATCTTTTTTAAAAATCAGTTTGTTAAAAATGGTTTATACATGGAGCAGGAAAACAATCAAGCCTGCATTTAAAAGGTAAAATTCGAGAATTAAAATTGTGCCCTAAAGAAAAACAAATGAAAATAAAATGCGTGCAAACCTGTCAAGTTTGGGGTCTGACTTGAAAGAAGAGTAGAAGATGTCACGGTGGCTGCTAGTAAACCACTACTAATAATAACATGGTGAATAGCTTATTCACCTGATGATCTTTTGAGAATTTATACAAAAAAATATGCCAGATTAGGAATTTTCTTTAATTAAATTATAACTTCAATCATAACATTACTTTGTCTTCGTTGGATAGAAAAAAACCTACAAACTTCAATGTCTGTTTTTAGAGACGAAGTAGCAATGTCAATATCATTTTTTAATATGTATATTATTATTTCTAATATTACGGTCACCCTGCACAGTACACCCTGAATGAGAATAAGTCACTTATTTGTGTAAGTGGGGAACAATTTTCGGTTTTTGAAGCAGTTGTTGTGGGATTTAACAAATGAATTAGGCTATTGACTATTGAGTCTGAGATTTTAAAAGCCCTGATTCTGATTAATTTTTTATTACTATCTGATCATACTCATAATTCATAATCATACACCACAGACTACAGTATTATAATTATTAAATAATACTCATTGGCTGGCAAAGCCAAGGCCTAGCCTATAAACTAATAGTAGTAGTAGCCTACTACTCTTAATTATAATAGTCTAGTGTCTCTGGTTTTTCATTTTCCTTTTACTTCTGCAGTTAAAATAGTTCACATAATTTTAATAATTGTAAAGCGCTTAGAGCTGTAAGGTAAGCGCTATACAAAAATGCCTAAAAAATAATAACTATAACAATAATTAATAATAATAACTTAAGTTTGCAGTGTGTAAGTGTAATGTGTTAAATTTCAAATATGCTGTCTTAGAGTTTCTTTAGAGGGTTAGTCATGAACTATGCAAAATATTATATTTTAAAGAGTTAGCCCTTATTACTATTACAACCAAATTTAAATAATCAAACTATTAAATCTAATCTAATTATTTATTTATTTTTAGGCATAGTACTGTATTAGTACTTCATAGACATCCAATTGTAGGCCCAATAACTATAAATATGATCATAATAAATAATTAATTTTAGAATTGTGACTAGAGGCCAACCGAATTTTGTTTTTCAGCGCTCAAAATTGCTATATGATAGTTTTTTGGCGTAATTTGGGTTAAACATCTTTCAGTCTTGGCCAAAAGTCTCATTAAGCTTTTGGTTTCATTTTCATAAAAGTCATGTAAAACTTTAATTTTTGGTTTCGGCCGAAACTAGAAGATAACATATGGTCTTTAGTTGTGGAAGTTATCTAGCTATTTGCCAATAGTGTTGTAATTAGCCTGGGATTTCTCATTATATATAAACAATATCCTAGGAAATCCTCTCATTCCAGAAAATCCTGGTATTGTATATTTTTACTCTGATACTAACTATAAAATTATTTTTAGTCTATATTTAGATAAGATGAAAAATTAAAATAGCTCTAACTTGTACTTTTATCTGACTACATTAGGGGCAATAGTAGACATCACAGTTTTTAGAGATATGGCTCAAGGTAGTTATGGTAATGGCAGCATGGAGATAGACGGCAGAAAAAGTGAATGGGTTCGTTTGAACGTTGGTGGTACAACATTTCTTACTACAAGAACAACATTGGGTCGTGATCAGAAATCATTTCTGTATAGACTTGTACAAGAAGCATCTGATTTGAATACAGACAAGGTGAAATATTTCTTTTAGATTCTCAAACAATACATTTTTAAGAGTTTTTATTTTTTTTAAAGAAGAAAAATAAATTTTGTAAATCCTTCCAAAATTTTAGTTAACACTTTAAATGCACACTGCTGATGAACATTACTTTTTATACTTTTATTAAATTTGAATTGAAGAATTGTCATAACTCTCAATATTCTAATTGTATTTAATAAATTTAAAAAATATAATTATTTAAAACATTATTTCTAAACTTGGAAAAAAGAATCATGAGTTAAATACCTCCGACCCCTTTGACTGGCAAAGCATCAAAGATTACCTTTCCCCATTCACAGTTTGCAAGATTTATCTTTTAATTTCTGTTTTTAAAAATTAAATTAAATAACTACCTTTAGTATGTCGAAACTTTCCCCATTCTCATTTCTTACTTTTCTCAGCATCCCCACTTAAGGCATCCTGCATGACTTTTTAAGTTATAATAAATTTTTTTTTAAATGGTCTTAGCATAATATTTGTTTTTGCATTTGAAAATCATTATTCTTTTGAAGGATACAGACGGAGCTTTTCTTATTGACAGAGATCCATCTTACTTTGGACCTGTGTTAAACTTTCTGCGACATGGTAAACTTGTGATGAACAAAGATCTAGCAGAAGAAGGTAAAAAATACAAGAATGATAAGATTCGGCATTAAAAATATCTTTTCCATAGCTATTTGCCTTCCATAGTTTTTATAAAATGTGTCTTTTTAACTTTGTTGGTAACAATGAGCATGTATAAATGTTTGTTGGATAAATGTACTATTCAAATAGCTTATAAAATCATGAAAATTGGGTCACATCCTAGTTAAATTAGAGAGATGATATTAATATTTGGTTCATATCTTATACTCAAAATGCCTTCAATAACAGTAATCTTTCATTAACATTGGATCTCTGATTTACATATTCGAAAAAAAGTAATACAAAAAAATAGTAGTTATTTGTTCAATTAGGGATTATTTCCTTAAGCTAAATGATAATTTATACTTGAATATATTTATTTTATATTGCAATTCTTTTACTTATTTCTAGGTGTTTTGGAAGAGGCTGAGTTTTACAATATCACAGATTTGATTAAGGTTGTGAAAGAAAGAATAGTAGAAAGAGATGCTAAGCAGAATCAGGTATTTTAAAGTTCATTAGGTACTGTTGAAATGCAATATAAATTTCTAAGGTAATATTTTATATTAAAAGAGGAAAAGAAGTTTTAGAAAAATTGTTAGCTTAACCAATTCCTTCCTAACATAGTACATAGCGACCTTCAAACCATTTAACCTCCAAATGGCCAATTCAATTCCACACCGACCTAAAACCTATGCTGCTTTATTACCATATTTCTTAACCCATTTTTGCTTGATGCCCAGTTAACATTTTATTTACCTCCATGGTGCCCTTCCCTGTTGTTATTGCCAGTATTTTAAAATGTTCTTATTTAGTTACATAAAATCCTTTTTTCAAAGTTTCCATGGCCCCCCAAGAAATTATGATATGGTTCCCTCAGAAGCCACATTGAGAAACACTGCTTTAATGTGCAGTTTATTATCCATACTACATGTTTTATAAGGATCAGCTGATTGATAGAAGAAGAAAAAAAAAAAACGATGGCTGGAATTTTGTTTTGGTTAAAAGAGGTTTCTTCAAAATTAGGTTGACTGGTGCTTAGAATGAAATCAGAGGTCACCTTGTCAATGCAGCTGTGCAGCGGTCTAAACTGTCTCAAACCAAATAGCTGGTGGTCTGGAGTTCAATCCCCACCAAAGCCAACATCCCAACCACCCCGGGTGGATGGGACTCGTTAGCCTTGGATGGCAACCCATCTAAGAGAAGGCAAACTCTCAATTTAAACCAGGAGCCAGAATGATCAACAAATTGATCGTGGGCCCCTCAAATATAAGAAGAAGAAGACAGAGGCTGTTCGAATATCTGACATTGTGTATAATCTGCATTTGGAAAAATGACCCACTACTGTACAGTTTAAAGAAAGCTGTGCATCTAAGCAACTTTGCACATGTTACCAGTTTCAAAATAAAAGGGCAAAAAGAACACATTAAATATGTAATATGTATGATACTTCTATGAAGACCAAAAAAATCACAATGGGATTTGGTTTAAGTAAGCTATAGCATTTCAATTAAATAATGCGTTTGATGATATAATGATTTAATTAATTGTAAATGCCATTTCTTGTAGACTTTCATGAAGAATGTCTACAGAGTGATGCAATGCTCTGGTCAGGAACTTACGCAAATGGTATCTACTATACCTGATGGATGGAAATTTGAACAGGTATTTTCTTCTTTAGTCATAAAAGTTTGCAAATTAAAAAAAATATATCAAAATGTGTCATAAATGCATTGGACTGAATAATTATTATTTTTTATTATGTTAATCAGTGTACCTTTGTCTTGATTTAAAAAATGTGAGTACCGGTATGTCATGCATGGAAGATAAATAAAAATAAAATTATTTTACTAACTTTGCTAAGATAAAGAAATGTATCAAAAGCTTTTTATGACTTTAATATAAAAGTGTTTTTTGAAGACTTTATAAGGGTATATGAAAAAACACATTGCACAATAATGAAGAACAATTAACTGTTTTGAGTACATGGGCCAGCTAATGCAAATAACTGCAGACTCTTGACTTACAAAGTCCAGCGTTCCTTTTTTTTTTCTTCTTTTTATTTTTTCTATTTGTTTAATCTAGGATTGTTTAAAAATGACTTGTTATAATTTTGGACTCAACAGTTACTTAATATTGGCTCACACTACAACTATGGTTCAGAAGATCATGCAGAGTTTCTGTTTGTGGTGTCTAAGGAATGTCCTACAGTCCTCAGTGGTACTGATGAACCTTCAGATAGGGCCAAGGTACTTTGTCAAACATTTGCTACTGCCCCTATTTTAGACATAAATACAATAAATGAAAAATTATTTCCAAGAAAGCTTCAAAAAGTATATTTCAATACTTTTTTTTTTTTACAGTATTTATTTGGTAATTCTCTTTTTGATTAGAAGATCATTCACTATTTTTTTAGGAGTTTAGGCTACATATATTTTGGAAACACCAGCTTGGCAAATCCTCCGGTTTCCGTATTTTTAGAATCGTAAATTAAAAAGCTTTTTTTCTGTATGCTTGATTGCTTACTTCCAGTTATAATTGTATTGCTAAAATACACAACCCAATTAGTCAATTAAAAATATCTCATAAATCGGATATCAAACGTAAAAAATATATGTCGTAACCTGGTACCTAATGAAAGCTTAACCATTTTATGATTTTTTATAAAAAGTTCAGCGATGGGTCATGGAGAAAGAACCAGCTATTTTATTTCAAAAACAAGCTACCCCATTCCTGTATTTTTAGAATCAGACATTTAAAACCCGCCGGTATGCACTTGTCATATTAATATTACAATGATTAAATTCTTTACATTGGCTCAAGTTGACATCTCAGAAACAATTACTAACGCAAACTTTATATCTTTTCCACACAAAAACTCAGCTTTGAGCTTGTTAACTAATTAAAAATGAGCACTTGCTAAACTAAAAAATCCACATTGATATAATAAAAGGATTTGTAAAACCCCTTATCATCATATCAAAAACGGCGACGCGATCTTGAATTTCCTTTCATTATAACCAAGATTAAGGGGAAACAAAAACAAATAATTCAAATCATTTAGTGTTGAAGTTCTTTTAATGAAATATAAATTTCTATTTTTGTGTGAGATCTAATAAAAAATAGTTGCTATGAATGCTATTTTCAGTAATTTAATGTATATTTTTGTAACTTGGTCTATATGATCTACTTACCAAAGCAAAAAACAGAGAAAAAAAATCTGAGCAAATGGAAATCCGTATTATTGTGGTTCAACCTCACCTGAATTCATTATGATTTTTACTGATGCTGTGATACACACTCCTTTTTTTTATATATCTGAGTGCCACCCTGGGTAACAGAAAAGCCTTAGTAATTGCTAAAAGTGAAGGAGAGATATTTGTTAGTTTTTTTACACCGTTAGTTAGCCCCAAAAAGTTATTTGATTTTGATTTTTTTTATGTTATCTTAAGGTTTTGCAGCTGAAGGGAACAAGGATCTGAAAGCTGTCTCATTGATAGACTGACTAGCTATGTATTTGTGAATCTTGTCAAGTAAAGGTTAGGACAAGTAATTATGTCATTACCTAGGACACATCATTATCTGTTTGAGCACACATCTGATGAGGATATTCAAATCGGTTTTGTTTATGTTTGCAAAGACTGTCCAACTTCTATCATGATTTTTTGAAAGGAATAAGTAATAATCCTTTTAGAGTATTTGAAGTTTCGGTAAAGTGATCATCATACGTTCATTTCATTTAATTGTAAATGAATTTTATAAAGATTTTTACTGACAAATAATCTTAATCTCGTGACAATAAAGATTGATTCAAACTTTTGTAGATACTTGTAATTTTATAGAAGTCAATCTTCAATGACTTGTGAGAATAAATTGTATCAAATGTTTAATTCTATCCAGCACTTATAGTGATCTCAGATATTTAGATCCTTCTTTATTTTCTTGAATGTATTTCACCAATGATGGAGGATTGATTCCCTTCTCATTACTCAGTAGTTTAAAAAAAAATTCTTAAAACTATCAATTGTGGAAAAAAAAGTGGAATTTAAAAAAAAATAATTTTGATATTAAGTAAAATGTGTATACTGGTATTATATTTTATTTTTTAAATTCACTGTTAAAAATTTAAATGGAATCCAAAATTGAAAGGTATTAATCAAAATGTTGATGATGCATTTCTGTAGTCACTATGTCCATAATTCTATTTATAAATTTTTGTCTTTTCTTTGGGTATCCATTGTTTTTGACAAGGTCAATGTTGCTTAAGATTCTATAAAATGTGACATGATGATTGGTTTAATATCAGTTTTTTCTAGTCAATAATTTGTTAGGAGAAGAAACGTCACAAAACTTTTAACACGTAGTATATGTTAATTCTTGAATGACATTAAAGTACCAGTAAGCAATTTTTAAAGCATTTATTTTGAAGCACTAGTATTTCTTAATTAAAAAAAACTACTTATCCTTTTATATTTGTGCTCACATCTTAACAAATGGTCACGTCCAAAAGATATTTCTCTTTTTTGACAGTATTTATTTTGGTTTATGATGCAGATTATTGCCCTTCTTGTGAATAAAGAATTAATAAAAAGTTTATATTTTCTCTGCTTCCTAAACTGTAATTTGGGAATTAACTTCTGTAAAAGACAATATTTAATCTCAAATAATTTTTTCGGCTATTAAAAAATTCTCTTCACATAATTAAGCTTTATATTTAAAAAACAAGAGAGCAGATGTTTTCAGAACTTATTTTATAGGAAATTAAACTTTATTTGGAAATTACAGAACATACCATATTTATTGGTGTATAACACTCACTTTTTCTCCCCGAAAATAGGGTGCAAATCATGTGTGCGTGTTATATGCCGATATAATGTTTAGTCTTTTTTCCTGCAATTTCCTTCTTAAATTGATGTGCGTGTTATATGCCGGGGCGTGTTATACGCCAATAAATACGGTATTTGCTGCATTTTCCTCTACTCTCTCAATCCTCTCCATGTAGTTGGCAAATTTTATGTTTTGTTCTGTGTAAAATTTGTTATTTTAAATTTAATATTCTATCTAAAAAACAACAAAAATTGTTCCAAATTTATTTACATTTGTGTATGTGAAAAATTTTTTAAAAAAAATCAAGGTAGAAATATGAGAATCATCCAAAACTAAGAGAAAAGTCCTTTCAATTAAGAACTTCCTCTCAGTTCAGACAATGTGTTACTGTGACCAGGCACAAGAGAAATATGCTATATGAAAATCCAAGTCGATTTTTAAAAATAAGTTGTTATCAATTGTAAAATTTACATAAGGGGTCTAATGCACTTCATGGTGGCCTAGCAAGAGAGGTTTGCATATTAGGAAATGCCATAAAAATATATAAACTGAGCAGACGTTCCAGCAGTATTGAATAAAATAAAAGGAAGCCATGCTCTTAAACTCCCACACTCCCACCACAGTCACATAGAATGAGAGGACACCAGCAAGTTTCCTCTGCAAACATCTATGGGAGACAAATACTACCTAAGTACGACATTGCTTCTTTAATTAGTAAAAAAAATATTCTTTAATTACTTACCACAATCTGCCAGATGACACAAATACGCTACACCCAGATAAACTGAAGAAGACCTGCACATTTTTCTTCATCTTAGTCTGATGAAGGGAGCATATTCAAATGGTCATTGTATCAGAATGATGGGGATAATTTTTTTCCAAATGACTACATTTAATAGCTTTTGTGGTTAATTCAAAGGTCTATCAAACTTCAAGTTATTCTGTGACCTTGACCTATGTTATTTGGACTAACATGTTCTAAAACTTGAGTCAGTGCTGTTATAAAAACTTAAAAATACAAACAAATCTCATAATTTGAATTCTCCAAATTACAGATGGTGCATTTTATTCTGAAAGCTATAAAAGTAAAAGCCAAAATTATTTCATACTTGATATGAATTTTTTTCCACCAGTGGTTGCGTGCACCCTTTATTGAAGGGGCCCTAAGTTGTGATGTGGATAAAAATTTAAACTTTCAACTTTGAATGCCTGAAAAGAAGGGTGGGGCAAGGGTGGTTGTGCAGAAAACTTAAAAGCAGGGCTGCCTCTCAAAGTTGTGAGACAGTTCTGCCTCCCGCTCCTCCTAGACTTCTGACTCAACCTGTCTACATGTTTTATCCATCATATAAATATTTAAAAATGGTTTGGCTCGTCCAGTGTTTACCAACATGAGGGTACTCCCCACAAGGGGGGGGGGGGGAGGAGGAGATTTAGTCTCTGAGATTGGAAATCTATATTAGTTTCAAAGGAGAGTGGCAGTGTTAGACAGGACACATTTTTTAAAACTTCGAAATTTTTTGCAATATGCATATATTTCACTCACAAGTTTTGGCTTAGTTTATACCTAACAAGCTATTTCATTGCTAATAGAAGGCATCCCATTTTAAGCAAACTACTGGAATACAGTTTCAACTATTTTTTATAGTTACTAACTTAACAGGAAAGGAGTAAATCTGTTTAGTTAATAGCATGTGCCAATATATCTTGTTTTCTTGATAAGAGCACTTCACTTATTGTCAATGACTGTTCCACTTAATTTGAGTTATTTCATCAAAATATTATTTTGTACATTATTTATATGAATTGCTATTATAGGTCATTCATTTATTACTAATTCTCGTTTAGGAGTGGGGGAAATTAAAAGACTTTGAGTATGGGGAGGGGAGAAGAAAATGCTCACCATACATTTCAATATGCATACAGAAAGTCTCATAAACAGGTGTTATATTTTAACCTTTTCTGTCAAAATTGCAACCAAAAAATGCTTTTACTGGGTAGTGGCTGGTAATCAGCCTAAAAAACTGTGTTGTTAACTTACCTATAAACCATATTGAAAGTCCTGCTCTTTTCTAGTTTTTCATTAATTTGGTTTAAAGTAAAATAAGGATTACTTTTATCTTGATAATTTGTTTAAAAAAAAATTTCTTAGATAATGGTGTAGCCATTGATGATTTATTAAAACTTATATTAGTGCCATTTTTTTTAAAGAATTATTTTAAGGTTATAGATCTATGATCACTTTTTAATTTAAATTTTTAAATAAAGAATTGATGAGAGTTTGAATGAATGTCTTATTTACGGTGACCAGATTTTTATGGGGGTAACCCGGACGACCCCCCCCCCTTGGTGAAAATTGACTGAAAGACAGGCTTTCCTGGAGGACAAAGAATAACTTCATTCATGTACATTAAATAGTATACTGTAGGTTATGGACATTGTATTAATCAGAATTCGAGGGTGAAAAATTTGTGAACAATAACGTAGAAAAATACCAGAAGTGTTTTGTGAGGAATTTATTAATACAGTTTGAATCTAAGATTGAACATATCACTTTTTCAATGTTCATAAAAGGTAAAACAGCTTACTAGTGAGGAACTAACTATTGACAGAACCGACGTATGTCAGACATATGAAGGATCAATAAATGAATTGTAATTAATTTCATAATATTGACACATTAATATTTCTGAGATGAGTGTACAGCTCTCTGGACATCAGGATTTTTTTAATAACATATAAAACTTGTCACATTTGACAACCAGAATAGATATATATGGACTTTGAGTTTTTATTTATCTGGTGTCCACATGTTTTTAATTAGAGAAAAAACTGTTTCAGTGGGAGAATTTGTCCCTGTCCAGGGAGAAGTATGCAGTTCATTGGAAAATGGCACAGGCCGGGACATTTCCTGAATTTCGTGGACCCAGGGACGGGTGATACGAAAATAGGGACTGCGTTGGGTAAAATGGGACATCTGGTCCCCGTATCTTACTTGACTTTTTATCAAAACGTAATGAAATGTTGATAGTTAAACAATATTTTTAAAGAGGGGAGTTTTTTTTTGTTAAAACTAATATCATAGATATGTCATTAGGGTTTCATTGTAGCATCTAGATGTTTTAGTGAACACATATTTTTGCTGACAATGTTGTTCATAATAAATTGGAACAGGCATGTAGATTTTAAGATGATGAAAGAATTCTGAACACATGTTGAATGCAATATCTGGTAAAATGAATCTTAAATTTAAATGCTCAAGGTACGGTAAAACTTTGAGAGAAACACAAGTTCTCATTTCCTTGTCCTTTCTCCATCTTTCTTTCTATTGGTGGTCAGCCCATATGGGCATTGTACAGAAATGTTCACTATCTCAACTCAAACTTTACTTAATCTTGTGCTTTTTAAAATTGTCAGTGCATACATTTAAAACAATTCCAGCTGTTTTAATTACACTACTGGCCATAGATGGTTTAAATTTTAAAAGTCATTTTTTTCCTGTATTTATAGCCATTACTAGAAGACTTGTGATAACTGAAAATGCCTATTGGCATGCTAAATTTTAGACATCTTTGCTTATGGAACAAAGTGGGGTATCTCTTATTCACAAACAAATAAGGATACATGCATGATATTAGCAATTTGCAATACCACACTAATAGATCACAAAGGATTAAAGTTTTGAAAACTAGATATTAAAAGTATCATTCTAATTCTACTCTTTCAAGCTAATCTTTTTGAAACAACACAGAAAGAAAAAAAAAGTTTTTTTGTCTGCAGTGCATTTATTCTGTCATGTTTTGTTTTTTATTTTTTTGTGTATTGTCAGAAATGGTGGAGTACAATTTAGGAATATTTGTATGCAATGCAATCATATAGTTAACACCGTTGTGTTATGCAAATGAATACTTTGATTGATGTTAGATATTTCTGTATCCCTATACATGCAAATTATTCAAGCACTATACCATCAAGTTTACAAGCTTTCATTTGAACAGATTTTCAAATATTTGAGCTCTCCTTTTAGTAGGCTTCCACTGAACAACAAATCTGAAATTTTGTACACATCTTTGACTTTTGGAGCACTTCACTACCACTACATTTTTCTGTCGGAATGAGCAGTATCACTTAGGGGATGTAGTGTAAAAATAAAATTAAATAACTACCCATTAACTTCAGCAACTGCTGATTGTCCCTTTCACAATATTGCCAAATTGCTCCGTCTTAGTATAAATAATGGCTTGTTCTTGTTCCCCTAAACAATTTTTTTCTCTTTACTTGTTTTAATGTAAGCATTGTAAATTGTAAGATCTAAAATATTTCTGCAAAAGCTTTAAGTGCCTGTTTAATTAAAATTAATTTTGAATGTTTGATGTAATCTGCAGCTGGAAATTTGCCCCACTCACCAGTTTTTATTTTTGCATCTAAGTAGGGTTGGTTTTTTTTGGCTGTTGAAAGGTTAACAAAATGTGAAGCTGGATTGCAGTTGAGTTATTGACCTAAAAGTGAATCTGATATAAAATTGTATTTAGGTGTGATGAATGAGATATGATGCATTGAGTGCCATATGTTCACTTTTTTTCCTCACCACTCATTAAACCGTCTTAAAGTACTGAAAAAGGGTTATTTTTGTTATTTTCAATTGTCAAAGACTTCATGAAGCAAAACAGAAAATACAGTGTTGAAAAAATAGCATCACAACTTAAAAGGAGTTTTTACATTAGGGGGATCCATACACACCTTACGATCTGCATAATCTCAAAGGACTGTCATTTGGCACACAGAAAGCTTAAGAGAAGAAAGGAGAAATCTTTTCTATTATTACAGAACAGTTAAACTTGAAATATAATAATTAAAGAAGAATGTGCCTGGACTGTGTACATGTGATTTATTCCCGAAATAAATAAATTTAAGAAAGGTTTAGGGTGCATGCAAAGAAATTTTAACATTTTTTTTATGGCATTTTCATTCATGACATATTTGACCATTACTGGCCTTGTAAACTGAACATAATCAATACTTAAGCTCATTTATCAGCATTCACTATACCATCTTTAAAAATAAATGAACATACAGATAATCTTAGATTATGACCTCAAAAGATTTAATTCAAGAATCATAATAATATGCTTCACAACAAAAACATTGACTTCTTTCAAATGCAAAGTCTTGTATCTAATCGACAAGTCAAGGAATTTATGAAAAATTCAGTGAAATACATTTTAATTTTTGTTGATAAAATAAAAAATAGATATCAACTAAATTTTTAAAGTCTTATATATATATATATATATATACCGGTACACATAAGCGTGTTTGGTTGGGGGCTGCAGGATTTTTTTGTGAACATAATAAATTAAATGGTTGAATCCGATTTCTTTCCATAATTACAATTTAGATGGGGGTTTCCCCGATTTGAATATGCTGTTAGAGACGTTATTTTAACAATTTTTCTTTCTTAAACATTAAGTGAGTACAAGTACAATACCTTAAAGCAAAGTGCAAAAACACCCCCCCCCCCCCAAAAAAAAACCCAACTGTGGTCAATAGGTTTTGCTCTATAAACCACTCCGTAAATAGTTGTCATTCCTGCCAAAAAATACAACCCCTCAATCCTAGTTTCCTTAGAATTTATTAGAATTAAATGACATAACAATAATTGATTTGAAAAATATTTTTTTTTCAGCTAGTATTACCGGTACTAGTAATGTTGAAAAATTACCATACATTGTTACCAGAAGTTAAAAAAAGTAATATATATATATATTTCAATATATATTATATATTTCTATATAGTGGGGCCTGGGAATCCAAAAGCAATAGAACTGGAACAAATAAGAATCCAAATGAAAATTGCTAGCAATCTCTCGAAATCCGAACGCTGCTGAAGCCCAGCATGTTGTTTGAGCATTTTAACATAATCAAAAACAAGAAATTTTAAAAGCAGGACAATTAAAATAGTTTTACGCTGTGGGTGTCCAAATATAAACTATTTGTGATTTCAAAGAGAGCTCTTCTGTCAATTAAGCTCACTAGTCATTGATGATACTTTTGTCATTTTGACACCATGGGTTTTAAAAAATAAGAAACATTCTTTTGATTGTCTGATCTTTTCATTTCAAGCCTTAAAGTATCTATTTCCACTATTTCTTTTGAAAAATAATTATTATTTGTGATTACGGCAAGAACGCTTATGTTGGAGAGTGATTCTTATTCAAATATTATCATAATGCCATCACTTCTTTTCAAGTTCAATGTGGGGTTTCATAATTTAAATTTTATTGATTTGCATATTTTTTGACTTGGGCAAAATTTAGATTTTAAAAATTAAAAGAACACGAAAAAAAACAAAATATAGGTATCTAAATCTAATATCTTAATATACCAGTTTAAAAAAAGGGGAGAAAAACACCTTGATTGTCTAAGTGTAAAAACTGTATTTAGTCTTCAAAACATACACAAACTTTTTTAAGCAGCTTGAAATTTTACAGTAGCTTTCTATATCATATGCATACACAACCAACACAGGTCTTTAATACATAAACACATGTCTTTTACACTTTTAGACATAACCAACTCAGGTCTTTTAGACACAACCATATTTATTAATGAGTAATAAAACATTCACTCTCAATTAAGTGCCTATTTTTTAAATATATATATAGCAATGGTAATCTACAATAATAGTGGTTATTATATAATATTCTTGTGATATATCTAGTTAGCTTTACGATGTATTACGATAACATTTATTAAGCAAAAATTTTTCTGGGGAAGGAATACTAATAGTAGAAATAATGTGAAAAAGGACCACACAATTGTTGAATTTAACTCCTATATTGCCATTGTGACAGCGTAAGTTTTATTGCTTAAACTGTAAAATCTGATCTTGATATTCAACAAGGTAAGGAGTAAGATAAGGTTAGAAACATAGATTATTACGACCAGAAAAGTTCATTCCAATTACAAATGTTGTTCCAATTAAGCATTTATTACTGTCACCAGGTAGTAGAAAATAAAGAGAAAGCTAAATATGTTAAATTTATGTATGAAAATTTGGTAAATTAATAAATAAGATGTTTTAATCATAATTAATCACAAAAACATATTTTTTTTAAAATGAACTGTGATATTCACTAAAAAAAAACAAAGTCTGTGCACACTGAAATAAGCTTTGCAATGCACCACTTCAGTTCTCCCTGGAAACATTAAAATATTTATAATTCAAGGGAAAAGTACCTGGACTGTATACCATTATATTCACAAATAAAACATTTAACAAAGTTTTTTGTGAATCATACAAAGAAATGTTTAAACTAGAACTTTTCATTCATTGAGAGACATCGATTTTGATCTTTATTGACCTTCAATAGCATATTCTAAAGATGCATTTAATGTTCAAATTTATTTGTCATGCATCCACTTGGTTATCTAAAATATAAAATAATGCTAAAGATCTTTATCCAATGATTTAATAGCACCCTAAAAATTGAATTTAGCTTGATGATGATTCAATTTGCCAAAAAAAAAGGTGTCCTTTCAATTTAAGAATCTGCCGTAAAGTTAGGATTAATAAATTGATGAAAAAAATATTTAGTTTTAACATTGTAGATTTTAAAGAAATTAAAATATTAAATGAAACACGGCATCTAACAAAATAGATTTTTAAAAGGTACTGGTATGTATACTTATAAATTTAAAGGGCTTCTTTTTTTAAAAAAAACAATTGATATCACCTACATAACTTAGGGCCAAAAGAGTTCTGTAGAACCCCATGAAAAATATTGAGCTAAACTGATTTAGTTTTTGTATTGTTTTCTTATTCACAAAGATATACAAAGAATTTGTAACAATTTTTTATCATCACAAATACAAAATTTAAAGAATAAATAAATGTATTGTTTTTTTTAAATAAATATGAAAATTATCAAGTCTAATTGGTTTTAGCGTTCCACAATCTGCAAAAGTTGTAAATTATTGATCTAGAATCTTTTCACAGAAAGTCAATTTTAGAAACAAAGAATATAACTATTTTTGAGCAAATATCCACTTCCCACAGCCTGAGTGATTGATATGTTGATGAAAAGAATTTTACTTGGTTTCCTCTGGACCATAGTATTTTAGCCAGACTTCATTGATCTTATTCACCCACAGCTGGGCATCTGGTGAACGGCTTTCCAAATGATAAGTACGGTTAGGCTGTTGATAAAAATTAACACTTTTAAACTATTTGTTGATATGCTAAAAAAAAAGAAAATGTCTGGCCTTAATATATCTATAAATACAAATATATTTAAAAATCATATATAAATACAACATCAAAAACTAATAACTTTTCCTGCCGGTGGCGTTTTCTTTAAACTAATAAAAAAATGGACCGATAAATTCTTATGCTAAAATTTAAACCAATGGTGGAACTTTGATTATTTTTCCTCTTCTTATGTACCGGTATTTTGGAGTGTAAAGTTCAAGGTCAGGTAGTGCTTGTTGATCAGGGGCCATTCTCTTTTTTTTCATTACCGATACGTATTATTTTGTAATGATTACAATTGGTTAACTTACGGTATGGACTAAGAATCCTTTAAAGCTTTTGACTTCAGGATGAAGACGTTTTGACCTGGGTAAGAAAAAAAATAAATCCTCAAATCAAGAAGTATATATTCGGCATTCTAATTTGCAACGTAAGTATTTAATAATCTGTTTTTAAGCTCTTTTCTTCTTATCAGGTTACTGAAATTTTATAATTAGAAATGATATCCTTAAGTTATCTTGAAAAATCAAAGAAGTCCATTTAGATTGTATGTACAGCTCAAACATGTGGTCTTATCTCTCTTCATCGCTAAAACATGTGCTGGTCTGTGAAAATTAAACCAACCATGGTATTTCCCCCTTGAGCACTTTGTTGTGAGCATCCACATAATATAAGTGCGGGCCTTCTGTTAACAACAACATTCGCTTTCTAGCAAACAGACCCTAAAATAACAAAACAATTTGTTATGTTAAGGAGCAATAACATTTTAATGCAAATTTAAATACCTATTATTATTTTTAGTACCGGTACAACTTAAGTCAAGTTTCTTACCTATTTTATTTTAGCACTGAGACTTAATTTTGATGTGTTTGTGTGTCTAAGTTGCAAAATTTCACCAATAGAGCAATATAAAAATATGATTTTTTTAAAAGACAAACTAACAAAAAAAAATTGTATGGCTCTGTACTGTGTGAAAATTACAACCTGGAAATATTTGCAAAAAATAGATGATTTTCAAGTGGCCTGACGACAAAGGGTAAACATTAAATAGTTGCTAAATGCAAGTTTTTTTCCCATGGTTCCTGTCTGTGTGTACATCATCTTGATTTCCAAATAGCAAACTTTTTGTTTGCTTGTTTGTCTAATGTGTTCTCTTCTTTATTTCCCAAAATATATTTTATTCCATATTGACCCATCTCATCACCATTTACATTGGTTTGCTTATAGTTCATTCTAAAGGACTTTCAAAGTATCTTAACAATGTTAATCATCACCAACTCTTCACAAACCTTTCTTTTATCAACAAATCCCTGCTTCAGAATAAGATTATTGTTTACAAATTGATGAAACGGATTTTCTTCCCGCTGCTTTCTCAGTTTTTCTTTTCTCTCATCATCATCAGCTTGACTTAA